ATCCGGCGGACGAATACAAAGTCTCGTTCTGACCCTGTGATCCGCAGCCACTTTTACGCATTTCCTGACTGACAGGTGGCGCCACCTTCATTCACAGCCTCGATTTGGCTCTTTCTATAACAATAGCTGTCCGTAGTAATGCATAAATTAACCTTCTAATTTGTTTCGCCAGTTTAAAAAAAAATACCGAGTTATGGCCGCTAACTATATGGTGCATGTCTACTTGTTATATTTTTATTTATTTATTTTGTTTTTGTTATAGGCTATTCAAGATATTCTCACAGAAATATAAACCCAAGAATAAAAACAAAAACGACTCACAGATGATAAGTTAACATCTGTAGATATATAGATGTATCTAACTGTAAACAGAAAAAAAACCTATAAAGTCAAATTTTCCGTATTACACACATGTTCCGAATATTCTTATTATAATTTTGTAGAACCAGATTTCTATTTCATCAAGCCTCTTCTTCATCTGTGAAAAGAATATTCAGCATCCACTGCCATCTTTCCTCATTATGTGTCCAAATCCAACTGCCTCTTTCAGATTTTAAATATAACCCTTTTTTATATATATCTATATCTCTTCAGGAGATTGGATCTCTGAGATGGGGTATGATGATTACTTGAATTAGTTACATTATTCGGGCTCTTATGCCCATCTTCATTGCCATATTCACAACGTTTCGGCCGTTGGACGTTCCGGCCTTCTTCAGGTGATTGGAAATTCGAACCTAACCCTTTATTGCGTCCAGCGGACAAGTCTTTCCTTTGTAGATTTTATTTTCTGGAGATTTATGATTATTGTTATTATTAATAAATTTCGATCAAGAAAAATCGTCGAAGATTGTGTGTTTATAAACTATATATATATATATATATATATATATATATATATATATATATATCTGTGTGTGTGTGTGTGTGTGTGTGTGAATTAAAATATGAATATGTTCACCCTGTAGACTTTCCTTTGTAGTTTTTACTTTTGTGTAGATATCTTTTGTTTATTTTATTTTTCCTTGTATACATTTCGCTGCAATAGTTTGCCTAGAAAGTATTTTTCACTGGTAGGCATTAGTAAATCGACGGTCAACAAATTTTGGAAACAGAGATGTTCTTCTAGACTGGCTGCCAAACCAGGCAAGACGTTCCAGACTTGGTGAGGAGAGATGAATTCATATTATTCGAAGGTTATTTGCGCGAAAGTGAAGACACCATTTCCAGCTGGGACTGAAACTTGTCAAACCAATTCGAGTTCTCAGATCGATAACCGATACGCCCAGATAATAAATACATACATGGATTTTATTTTAAAAAATAGCATTTTTAATGGCTAAACCGATTTGAGTTACTCTCCTTGTTTTTTTTTTTTTAATTTTAAATAATGAAATTAATAATAATAGGCCTATATTGAGAAATACTGTTAAAGAATAGCTGTGGCCCCGGACTGGAATCGAACCTGTATCCCCATTTCTATCAGGGGTACCCATTAAAATGCCGTTTATAATAATAAAGAAATAATGACCCATAAAAGAATAATCCATCCAGACATATATATACATATATATATACATATACATATATATATACTTATATATATATACATATATATATATATACATATATATATATACATATATATATACATTCATATATATATATATATATATATATATATATATATATATATATATATATATATATATATATATATATATATATATATATATATACATATATATACACAGACACATATATATATATATATATATATATATATATATATATGTCTGGATGGATTAACCTGATGTCTAGCCACACTGATGAGCTGCGAAACAGTCTGTCTGTGGATGACAGTATATATATATATATATATATATATATATATATATATATATGTGTGTGTGTGTGTGTGTGTGTGTGTGTGTGTGTATATATATATATTTATATATATATATATATTCATGTTTATAAATGTGCGCAAAAAAGCATACATACACACACTCATATATATATATATATATATATATATATATATATATATATCGCAGAACAGAATAGCGGATGTAATGACGTTAACTAGACACCACATCCAGCCATCACACCTGCACCCACTCTTGTCTAGCGGCACTCGTATCTCGCAACTCACAAATTAGCCTGCGGCAGACATCGAGCCCCCGACTTTATCGTCGCTCGCCAGTCAAAGCTTTAACATGGCACATATGTATGTCCTGTTGAGCTGCAAGTGCGATATTTTATGTCCGGTAATATCGAAGCAAAATGGCGAAATTCGGCCATTAGCAAAAAGCAGTGGTCAATACAGTCAGCAAATAGGAGTTGAAGGCAGCGGGAAACAGTGTAGACTCTTCTGATAGAATGACTTACACTTTTAAATGCAATGCTTAATTTTTATTAACAAAAATATTCAGTGGTTTATCAAATGATACATTGTGATCAGTGAAAATTAAAGTATTGGAACTCTCATGTGAAAGAGATTCAATATTTATTCGCATTTATAAAAAGGTTGGTATATTTTTTTGGATTAAGTAAAAATTGGTTTACCTTTACATTGAGGTGATCCTAATTACAATTAGAATGGCATCTCGGCACACCGTTTCACTGTCGAAACGGTTAAATGTAACTGCCTCTTCTACTCCAACAGCTTCTTCTCTTGCACTTCCCAACAGTGGAACTCCCTTCCTCTTACTTGAGAACCTGATGGCTATAATCTTCAAATTTTCAAATGTAATGTCTATCGACATTTACCAATGCCTTGATCCTGTCCCCATCCTTCTCTTCATCCTTTCTTCAATATTTGATGTAGCAACGGGACATTTATTATTATTATTATTATTATTATTATCGAGATAGATAGATAGATAGATAGATAGATAGATAGATAGATAGATAGATAGATACATAGGGAGAGAAAGAGAGCAGTATGTCAGCAAAATGAGGCTGGGGTACAATTATACCAAACCCGTTGTACACATCACGATATCCAGTTTGGTTGATCCTCGACTCCCTGAGAGTGTCTCACTGCGTCTTCATGGCCTCACATTTTCCACTGACCTGAGGTGGAACAATTAAATTGAATCAATGCCTGAAGGAGGTTTTTTCTCGTCAGAGTCCATCTTACACATCTACAGATTTACCATTCGTTCATGTATTGAATAGTGTTGGCATATCTGGTCTGGTGTACCTCATGTTCATCACGTGATTTTCGACAAAATTCATAGAAGGATTTGCAACATAATCGGTCCTAACTTGACATCTCGACTTCAAACCCTTTTCCACCGAAGTAACATGGCTTCCCTTTGTTTTTTTTTCTACAAATATTTTCATGGCAACTGCTCTGACAAGCTTTTTTCTCCGGTGCCTTGACTACATGAATTTATACGTGCTACTAGATTGGCATCTAGGTCCCACCCTTTTACTGTTGAAATAGTTAAGTGCAACCACCACTTCTACTCCTGCAATTTCCTTTCTCACCCTTCCCAACATTAGAACTTCTTCTTATTTGCTTTCCTGATGAATGCATTCTGCTTTTATCGTTTCCTCAATTTTCTCTATATACTATCTTTTCTCCCACTTTCTCTCTCTGTAATCCCATGCGTGTCAGTGGCTCTTCCGCCTTGCTTGGGGTGAAATGATTAAAAAAATGTTTGATGATGGTGTACCTCGTCTATGAATCATAGGCAAATGTTAGCGATATAGTAACACTTTTAGATAAAAGCAGCTCATAACTCTAAAGGTGTCAGTAGCTTTCCCGCCTTGCTTGGGATGAAATAATTAAAAAAAAGGTTTGATGATGGTGTACCTGGCACAAGAGTCATAGCCAAATGTAAGCTATAGAGTAACACTTTTAGATAAAAGCAGCTCTTAACTTTAAAGGTGTGGTCCAATTGTAAATACGTTCAGACGATCTTTAATTTACAGTTTTTCCATTTATGTAGACATGACTCCCAAGTGAGTTCTTCCATCTCATTTTCTTTCGTTTTGCTGACATTAAACTTACCAAGATCTGTTCTTTGTCTCAGTTAACAAGTGTAAGTCACTTTTTTCGATCAGCTGCCTTTTTGATCTTATCGAACCGATCCGACTTATTGATGTAGTCTTTATTTTAAAAAAAATGAAGGAAGTTTCTTTTTGGTAATTTTTGTAAAAAGATTTTCATATATGTTTAATATGATTTTAATTTACAACAATGTTTCATAATTGTGGTTGTATCATGACTGTGATTACGCATGAATCTGTTGTTATATAACAATTGTGTTTTAATAACCGAGAAATTAATATATACGACAATAAGCCTTGTTTTAATTCTATGTACTGTGTATTTATTAGGATGTGTGCGATCATGGCTCTTAACAATTTTCTGGCATTTACCTGAGTAAAATTTGCGTTTTTTATATCTCTTCTAATTCCTGTCAACATATGCTCGTTATGCAGGTTTTACGTTTTTTTTCTCTTATTCTGTGAGTGCCAAATAAACTTCTTGTTTCATTAAGTGTCCCAGAGATTTCAACTTTCCCTATTGGATTGTAAGTATAAGTCTCCTTTTTGTTTCCATTGTTTATTTTTTCGATTTATGGCATGCTCAGCATCCTTCGGTAGAACCACATTTCTGTTGTCTCTTTATTTGTGATGAGATTGTCCAACATTCACTGCTATATAGGAGGACTGACATTAAATAACTTAATTAAGTAATATTTTCTTTGTTTCTGTCGCTTAAAGACACTTCTTCATCTGTAAGGATATTATCCAGCATTCGATTGGATATATGATGACTGATATTACGTAACAGTTCAGTGCTCTTTTCTTTGTTTCTGTCGTTTTAAGTCTCTTCTTCATCTGTAAGGAGATTGCCTTACATTCAATACCATATAGGAGGACTGACATTACGTAACTGTTCAGTGCTCTTTTCTTTGTTTCTGTCGCTTTAAGTTTCTTCTTCATCTCTGAGGGGATTATCCAGCATTCACTGCCATATA